GTTAACTCTAATCTTCAATCCAAACAACACATTCTTTTAAATTTAACCAACACACCTGAATATTAAAACGGAGACACAATCATGAACGGATTACGCAATTTATGAAGCTACCAATAATGCATAATTATAAAAAAAAAACATCCAGAGAAGCCATACTTTTCACGTAGAATAAGCATGCTAAAGGCAAAGGCACATAAATGTATATTGAAAAATCAATTGGTTTAACTCATTATAAACATAAGAGGATTTAGACATCATCTTAGCGTGCAATAGAATAAATAAAATAAAAAGCATTCATCTTATCACTAATTAAAGGCTTAAATCATATAACACAAACATTTAGGAATCATCAATTATCATATCCCTTAATACTTTAGAACATGAGCAGATTAACATAGCGGTTCACAAGCTAAGAAGAGATATTAGAGGGAAATTTAACAAGACCGAGATATCTAATTTAAAGAAATCCAGAAAGATCACAGCGATTGCCTCACAAAAACATACAATGAAATAGTAGCATGAAATTATTCTTGTGTAGTACGAGCATGTAATTCAGTCAAAGCTATGAAAATTTATTTGAATGAGGTTTGAATTGAAACGAAACTGACCTGGACGGATCTGTACAGATCCGTCTTTAACAGACTTTTCAATTCCGCCGGAATGTTGCCTTGATCGCTGTGCGGAGCTGCTGCGTGGAGTTTGCTGGAGCCGTTTCTCCTCGCCTGGCTGCTGCTGTCTCTCGCGGGCTGCCTGGCGTTCCTCCTCTTCGCAGCTGCTGGCCGAGCGCAGCAGTCCCCGCTGCTGACACTGATGGGAGGCGCGGGGAGGCGACAAGGAAGGCGAGAGGGGAAGGGAGAGGGGTCGCGAGAGAAGGAGAAAGGGAGGATCGGAAACGAAGGAGAAGGAAGGAGAAGAAGAGGGAGAGAGGGCAGGAAGGGAGGAGCAACGGCTGCTTGGGCGGCTTCTGTCCGGCTGTCTCCTCGCCGGAAAAAATTGGAGAGGAGAGGGGGGGTTGCGGCGGCTGGTGACGGGGAGGGGAGAAAGAGAAAGAGAGAGAGAGAGAGAGGGGGAAGACGACAAGCGAGAGGGGGAAGACGACAAGCGAGAGGGGGAAGACGACAAGAGAGAGAGGGGCGTCGCCGCCTCGCTTGGGGTTGACGATTTCCACCGGAAAGAATGGAGAGAGAGGTGGCGCGGCTGGAGAGAGTAGGAGAGGGTGAGAGAAGAAGTGAACGAAAATTTTTTAGGGATTATTTTTAGATGTTGAGAGAATATGAGAGTTAATCACAACCGTTAGATTAGATAGAGATGAAGGGTTAGGATTTGATGGATTTATTTTTTTAAGATGGACGGATGAGATTAAGAGATCAAGTCTTGAAATTAGATTGGCAAAGATATAGAGTGGCTAAAATTGCAATAACGTTTGGCTAGAATTGGAATGAAAGAGAGGCTATAATTGTAATAAAACTTTAATTCAAATGGCTAGAATTGAAAGAAATTGGAATAGAATAGGCTAGAATTTGAAATTTAAGGAAAGTGTAGGAATTACTATTTTAATTAAAATACTACATATATTAAAATATTTTTATATAATTGAAAATCATTTAAATTTTAACATTTGAAATTCATTAATAATTTTAAAATATTTTAATATTTATGATAATTTTATAAAACGTACTAAAATATATAATTTTCAAGCAAAGTCGATTAAAAATTCTAAAATTTAAAATACGTATTTAATCGAATAGTATTCCTAAAAATGGTCAAAGGTCGGTCAAAATTGGGTGTCAACACGTATCCTACATGGCAAAACGCGTGTTATGCACGTTTTCTGCGCGAGTTATGACTATTTTAAAGGCCCACAACGGTAAAAAAAAAAAAGCAGAAATGACAAATATACCCTTAATGAATTCCCTTTATATATATCTCTATATTTCCAAATTAAAGTTTACCTAAAATCTAATTTCTCTTTCCTCCTCTTTCAAATCAAAATTTTTTATCCTCTTTAGAACGATTTGTGCTCATATTTTGTGTAAATGGCTTCTAATTTTTTTTTGTCATTGTAACAGATGAACATCAACTACAGTAGTAATCTTGAATGAATTTCGCCTTTGATTTCAAGATTTTGATTTCAAAATAACCTAGGGTTTTCAATTTGAAGCTGAGTTACTGACTGATATGAACAAAATTAATTTTTTGAATCTTGGATAATGCAACTTGTAGAAAGTTGCTTTCTAGAAAGGCAACGTTACACTATATGTAAAATAAAATTAATTTTAATTTTAAAAGGGCAAAAAGTGCCAACTTGATAATCATGCTGTCTTTTCGTCCCTATGCTTTTGCAATTTTTCTCCAAAAATAATTATTTACTACTTGGAAAGTTTTAGCATAACAAATAATTATTTACTTCTTAAATGACGTATAATTTTTTAAAAAAATAATGACGTGTAAAATATTTAATTTGTTGGCAGTTATTGAGTGGCTCACTAATACACGCGGGCGCGATTGTATTTCACGCTTTTTGGGTCCAAAAATCGCGTGTGTATTTATAAAAAAATAGGATAGTTAAAGTGCCTATTTGTGCACTGTAAAAGTTTGAGGTCATACTTAAAATTTAAAGCCAAGTTTAAGGGCAAATCTATGTATTATGCCTTCTCAATAACAACTCAATATTCAACAGTCACAATTTTCACAGAGAAACACTCACAAGATCAACAAAACACGTGTTCAAGTTCATTAATAATAAAAATGTGTAATGCCATGAGATACAATGTCAAGTATAGTGATGCATGTCTTCCCTAACGATACACACCCGATGTCTCTCAGTCTGGGACCCATGAGGGACATATCTGTCCATGCATCTGTCGCGACGCACGACACGATCTTTAATAATAGTAACTGTCGTGGCGTGCGATACGTCCCTCGAAATATATTACCATCGCAGCGCGCGATACGACCCTCGAAATGGTACATCCTCTTATTACATAACTCTTATCACAACCATGTTTCAGATTCAGTGCAAATTACATGCTCAAATAAAAATGAGGAGATAGCCATTTTGATAATAAAGCACAATTTACAACAAGGAATACAACACCAACAAATAAGCAACAAGTCTCCAAATCATTCTCAACACCACACAAGAAAATACACGAATTTCATACGCTTAACAAGAGTTTAGAAATCCACTTGCCTTATAATTACTCTGGGACTTGATTCTTCCCTTCCTTTGAGCTTCCAAATCGATGCAATCTATTCAAGTATATAAATTCACAATAAGGTTTTGGAACTAACAACCCACATTATTATCTGTTTGATCTTAACCTAATAATTCACCCAAATTTATGATCAAATTCATAATCTTGATGCAAACTAACATTTCAGCTATCATATTTCTCAAGTTCCAAGTCTAAGGTCAAATCTAAATTTTTAAAAGTTATCCCTCAATTCTTAAAACTAACGCAATATAGGGACTGACCAAGTATCACATTAATGAAAAAAATATATATCATCAACCTATACCTACCTATATATCAAGTTTTTCCCAGTGATTATTATAATCATTAACATCCGTCGTTTCACCTATCATTACTTCTCAAATCAGCCACCAATTTAACAACACTGCACCCACTAACTTATAATGAAAATTAACATTTTTTTCTTTTCTTATTCCCTTGAATTTTAAAAGCCGCCAAAATGATGTAACATCATCATATGGCTTCACAATGCCCAACTTCAATTTATTATACCCATTATTAATATTATCATAATAATAATAAATAATTTGATGCCTCAACTAAGCCCCAATTTCAATACATACACCAGTGACTTTATTTCAACATTTTTTCTCTTCAATTTTTGTATTTTCTTTCACAACTAACAAGGTAGTAATACTTGTTAACATATACATAAGCCACTATATGAATCAGACATATTACTGATTTACCTGATAAAGATCTTGCGGCTGGCTGCCTTCGTCGTCTACAGGTAAAATTCTCCGACCCTTTTCTCTTTCTCTGTATGTTATTTAATTAATAAAATGATTATGTATTAAATGTGACAAACCCTAAACAATTTAATTCACTTTAACCCATGATGTATAGAGTATTATTAAATGATCACTTTAGTTCACTAACTATCGATATATTAACTCAAATTACACTAATATTTAAAACTTCCAAAAATGACTTACTGAGTCATTACAAGATTATCCATCCGTTGTAACAAATAAATCATCTATTGAGAATAACATTATATTAATTATTTTTTACAACACGTGTTTTTATCACTATCACCAACAACACCAACAAAATCAAGAACATCAAAAACACCACAAACTATATCACTAGTTAAACAATATTAATTTAACGTTTTTATCAATACACTAATACCACCAACGAAACAAAAAATATCAAAAATATAAACAAAAAAGAATATCCACAATAAAATCAAGAATATTAAGAACACCAACAAATTAAACAATTACTGTACAATATAACAACACCAACAAAATCAAGTATATCAAAAACACCAATGAAACAAAGAATATCAATAGCACCCAACAAGATTAAGAATACCAACAATACCAATAAATTAAACACCAACTAATACGTTGCAACATCAACACATGAAATAGATACATTTCCTCTTGTACATACCTCTCTTTGAGTGCTAAGCTAGCTAGCACTGTAATTTGTACTGCGCAGCCATAGATTTCAAAGTTGATCTGGGTTAAAAAAAAATTGTATTATTAAGTGGGTTGGATCGAATTAAAATTGAATAATTTAAGTAAAATTGGGTATGTTAAATGATTTGAGATTTCTCATCCAAAGAGGGATATATTGTTAAATTTATTGACAATAAAGAAAAAAATAATTTTCTTTTATCGACAGTGATAAAATCAACCAATAAAACAAAATTAAAGAGTAATTTGAATTTTTTTCCTTTTTATAATATAATAAAAAATAGTCACCAGTACTCGATTAAAAAACTTCAATGACACATTTGGTTCAATTTTCTTCCCAAATCCCTAAATCCAATTATTTTCCCCAAATCCGTAAATCCAGTTAAATCCCTCCAAATAATCGCTCACCTTACAACTCCTCTCTCTCCCGCGAACCACCAGCTACGGCGGAACCACTGCACCTCGCTTCCTCTGTCCCTCACGACTCTCCGCCTCTGTACCTCACGACCCTCCGCCTCCTACTTCGCTAGTCGGAGGATTGAGAACGGAAAACCCGTTCTTCTAGTCTCTCTCCTCTCCTTCGAGAAAAACCCCACCCTGCACCTCCGACTTCGACGACCACCGCCAGTGCTGCCTCCACTCAATATCTCCTTCAGTCTCTCTCCATTGTCAACTCAACCGCCTAACTCCGGTGAGCCACCATCTCGGAGAAAATTATTTTTCTTTTTTTGAGCTTTGTATAGTTTCTTCTCGTTGATTTTATGGAAAATATAATAGTCTTTATAGTTTTGAATTTCATAGAAATTGATTGAAACTAATTTCAATTTCTGGTCAACTTTTTGAATTTTAGATTTGAATTTGCCCCTATTGTTAACAAGGGGATTTTGTTTTCCATTGTATTCCAGAATTTAAGGAAACTGGATCAGCTAATAGACGGATGGGTTCAGTTGCGGAGAATCTGGTATATTTTGTTTTCCTCAAATGGGTGCTTTTTTATTTTCAAGGGAAATATAGGAGCTCGGAAATATATTATGGATGGCTGATGAACAATATTTTGATAATGTGTAGCTAGGTGTGATTGACTTGATTGATATGTTTTCTTTTGCAGTATATAGATGAAAAGGTGTCCGGTGATGCAAACTCGGGTTCAAGTGAAGATAGGTAAGTTTTTGTTTGATCAATTCTTCAATCGACAGTTCTAACAGGCTAAATTTCGATGTGCTTTTATGAATTGTTGTTGTATATGTGATGAACAATTGGTGCACCTGAAAACAAAAATAACTGCTCACTCAATCATAAATCAGTTGAGGCCAGCTATTGGCTATATGAGTCCTCAACATTTGGATGATACTTAACTATTTGAAAAATTTGTACTCCTGAAAACAACTAAAGAATAATTTGATTTAAAATGTATTAGTAAAGTTAATATGGAGAATGGATGTCTAGTACTCGAGAAAATTTCCAAAATGTGCCAATGAGGCCCTTAGCCAGGTGGTAGCTTCTGTAAGTGTATTCCCTATGCGTGAGAAATTATGGCAGGAAAATATGTTGAAATTGAAACAAAAAATATACAAGAGAATTTCCTCTCTTTGTTCATCCTACGCTTGTCACTTACCTGTGTATGTGTTTGCATGTCCTTTCGGGTGGGATTTCTTCTTTGTTTCCCCTGAATTCCTGTTCATCTTTTTAATTTCATCATTAGTCTTAATGCAATGAGAAAACATAGTATTTAGATAAATTGCAGAAGAGTTAAAGGGGACTAATCGTCCACCAAGTACATAAATGAAAATTGTAACTAACTAGTACAATTAAATCACTTTGATATGCCTAAAAGAACTATACTTATCCAAAGAATTACCACAACGAGCCTAAAGTTTCTCTAACAGTTGACCATCAAATGAGGCATGAAAATTCTGGCAGTCAACAGTCAGAACTTCAATGACAATTTCTTTGTTTTTAGCTACCAAAAGTCCGATACAGAAAACTTTGAAGTTTGATGCTCAAAAAGTCAGCATACCCTAAGATGGATCTTGATTTTGCAACGCTTACATAATGCTTTGGATTATTTGATGGATCTTTTTTTTCCTTCTTGTATTACCTTTTTCTAGAGTTTGTGGTTGCTATTTAAAGCCTGCTTCATTGGGGTTCTTTTGACTTACTTTGTCTTTTTGGCTTAAAAAAAAGTGTTTAAAAGCACTTCTTTATTTTACCCCCAACACTATAAAAGTGCTTAACAACTACTTCGGCTTAATAATACTTAAAATAAGTCAATGTAAACAAGCTCTTAAACAAATAATGGGTATTCAATAGTAGATTATAAAAGAAGTTTGAGCTCAATAGAACAATTGTTGATCATTAAATAAAGGTAAGAGTTTAATAGTATAGACATAGTTGATTTTTGTCTTGTTTAACGCAGAGGCACACATGTAGCGTTGTTGTGCATATGTATTTGTGAAAATAAAAGGTTATATATATGCTGATCTACACATATCTGTGAATGGCAGAAACTTTAGCTACACCTGTTGGCTTAAGATGTCAGGTAATGGATGTCATGAAAAATATGCGGATTATAAAACCCTTTGGCCCTGATAGTATCCGTATAGAGGTTTGGAAGTGCCTGGGAGTTTTAGCAGTGGAATGCTTACCAAGCTATTCAATGCTATACTAAGAAGTGGTAGGATGCCCAATGAATGGAGGAAGAGTTTCCTTGAATCACTTTATAAGGTCAAAGGAGAGATTCAGAATCATTGAAACTATCATGAAATCTAACTCACGAGTCATATGATGAAAGTTTGGGAAAGAGTGATAGAACATAGACTTAGTTACACAACAAGAGTGAAAGAAAATCAATTTAGATTTATGCCTATTGTAGATCTATAACAAAGGCTATATTCTTACTAAAAAGACTTGTGTAAATCTAGCATGAAAAGAAAAAAAGACTTATACATGGTGTTTAATGTTTATTGATATAGAGAAAACGTATGATAAAGTATCACGTGATGTTCTTAAGTGGGTGTCGAAGAAGAATGGAACTCATATTAAATATATAAATGCCATAACTGATATGTATGAATTTTTTTTGTAGATGATACATAGGAGTTCCCATAACCGTGGGTTTACATGAGGGATCATCATTGAGTCTCTACGTGTTTACCTATTATGGATGAGCTTACCAACACTATACAAGAGGAGGTCCCATGGTGTATGCTATTTGCTTATGATATTGTGAATTGATGAAATAGTGAGTGTCAACTAAAAGCTTGAATTATGAGAAACACCTTTTGTTTTTTAAACAAAGTAACATTCGTATGTATTGACTGAAACAAGTACATGGGTTATACTGAAAACCATAATTACAACTTATCAACAAACTAAAATATCTGAATCTAAAATCTAAATAAAGCCAATGATCTCAATAATTGACTCAATCTAGCTACATTTGTTTGTACCAGAAACAAAAAAGTTTGATACAATCCAGTTTGATCTTCTGAAGTTCACAATTTTTGCTCTTAAAACATCTAGTATTTCTCTCTTTCTAGATTGTCGACCAAATACTGACACGATCCTCCATCTATCTCTGTCTGAAGCTCCCCCACCTACCTTTTCCCAACTGTAGAGGAGGTAGGTGATTCTGTTAGGCATAGTCCAAAACCCTGAGGCTGATAAAAATCCTCTAAAGTTGGGTAGTTATCTTGCATTGTAACAACAAATGGCTGACTGCCTCATCCTTTTCTCCACACAAACTGCATATCTAGCACATATATAACTTCCTTATTTTGAGATTTCTTGTTTTAGGACTACTTCTATTGCGAGTGATCAAGTAAAACATGCCACTTTGAAGGAGATTTTTGTTTTCCAAATCTGTTTCCATGGCCATTGTGGTGGTTGTTGGCCACCTTTGTTAAAAGCTTGTATGTTGAGTTCACCTTAAACATGCCTTGTCTATCTTTGTCCACCATAGTCTATCAGCCTGATTCATTGCCCCTTTGAACTCTGTTAGAGCTTTGAAATTTTTTGTGATTGTTTCAATTTCCCACTCATTAAATTTCCTTCTGGATGTCCCATCCTTGTTGTGTCCAACTGTTAGCTACACTCTTTTGTGATGTACTGCCAACACATACATCTTAGGGGAAAGGTTTTAAACTAGCATGTCCCAACTATTTGTCCTCCCAAAAAGCGGTCTTACTTCCATTACCTACCCTCACGATTGTGTTATTTATTGAAGAAGGCCAAAAGATTTTGATAGACCTACATAGACTTATATCATAGGGTGTAGATACCTCATTTGTCATCCATTTATTCTTATCTCTATATTTAGCTTTAATTACTTTACTCCAGTATGATTAAGGCTTTTGTGAGTATCTCCATAACCACTTCAACCTAAGTGCTTTGCTTTGTATTTTCAGATTCCTTACTCCTACCCCTACCCCCCTTGTTTATTTCCCCAAATAACCTCGTTTCATTTGACCATGTCTCAGACAATAGAGTCCTTTTCCTCACTCCATTTCCAAAGAAAATCTCTCCTAATCTCGTCTAACATTTCTTTCACTCCATCATGAATGGGAAAGATAAACATCGTATAGGTTGGTAGAGCATCCAAAACTGAATTAATGAGAGTAGCTCCGCCACCTAAAGAGATGTACTGAGATTTCCATATAGTTAACTTCTCACACTTTTCAATCAGTGAGTTTCCTATGCTCATGACCTTTGACTTGGCACCTTGAGGCACACCTAGGTACATAGTAGGCAGAGAGCCTACTTCCCCTCTAGAATTTCAGATGACTCCAACGGACTTTATTGATTGGGAACAACTGGCTTTTCCTCCCGATGATATGAAGTCCAGAAACTCCCTGAAAAAACACAAAAATTGATCTCACTATCAGTAATTGCCTTTCTCTAGCATCACAAAAGATTAAGGTATTATCAACATATTGGAGGTGTGTGACTTCTATGTTGGCATTTAAACTTGGGATTTGGTTTGTGACTACCTCAAAACCTCTTAGACATTCATTATTCCTAGCCAGCTTTATCATGTAATTTAGACCCTCCATGAATATGATATAGAGAAAAAGAGACGAAGGATCATCGTGTTCTTCAAACTCCCCTTGTAGATCTTCTCTTTCCCCTTATGTAATCAATGGACCAATGTTTTGGACGGTGAGAGGTGAGCGCGAGGCGCTTGCCTTTTTGAATTAAGGCGCCAATTAATACCAAAAATTAAAAATTTTAATTGCACATATAAATATCCAAAATCTTAATAGTAGTAACATATATTAGCAAATGTTTAAATTTTAAATCAAATAGTGAACAAAGCACCGAGTGAGTGAACAACCATGTTCATTATCACACTAAAAACAGAGCACAATAGTGTTAAGAATAGTAAAGAAGAAAAAGAAAATAGAAGAATTAGAAAATAAGAGCTGAAGAAGAAGAAATGTACCTATCTGCTGCCATGAAGCAGCAAAGGAGCAATAGTTGCGAAGTCAGTTGAAGAAGAAAGTCGCGAAGTCGGTGTTTGCATAAAATAGGCAAACACGAAGGGTTCGTGACTGAGGAAAAGAGTAGACAATTGCAAATGTGGAATGTTTGCAAAAATACCCCTAAAACCCCTAATTTTGGCTTTTTATTATAAACTAGATCTTTAAAACAAATAAAAAAGGTGGCGCGAGCCTTGTCGCCAAAGGTCGCCATTTTCAACTCGCCTCGAGGCAAATAGGCAAAAGTGCCTTGCCTTATCGCCAAAGGTGAAAGGCGAGCGCCTTTTACAACATTACATTGGACAATTGATCAAGTTAATTGAAGGTCTCCAACCTGTGTTTTTTCTGATTATAACTATTGACAGAACCCAATAATCTCCCCTTTGATTCACAAGGTTCATCCTCAATCATCAGCTGGTCAAATATTATTGCTTCTTTTATGTGCATTAGCCACACTGTGGAAAAATTTGGTATTTGTGGTTCCCTCTTTCAACCAAAGTGCCCTTGATCTTTGTCTCCATGCCATCTCTTCATTTTTAAGTGCCTTTCATAATCCATTAGAAGAGTTGACTTCAAAGCTGTCTCTGATTTTGTTAAAATCCTGCTCTCCATTACTGTATCTAGAATGGCCAATCTCTCAATATTTGGACCTCATGCATTCTTCGATTTTGAGAAATGGTAAAC